TTCCTCTTATTATTATTATTATTATTATTATTATTATTATTATTATTATTATCATTATTATTATTATTATTATTATCTATCATTAGTACTTTTAGTTACATACAATGCATTAAACCGAAAGTAAACGAATAGAAACCCAATATTTATGAAGAACAAGAATAGATTATAAGATTGCAATGTATAGTAAATATTTGTGTAATGTTGAAGGTCCTAAATGATCTAAATTTACTTTTACAGTCTTCCAAAATTATGAGACTATTCTTTTCACCTTTCTTTTACATAAAAAATATTATGTTAATATTCTAAAGGAAAATAAATGTAATAACGGATGGAAAACAAAAATTTTTGTGAATATTTAAAATTTTATTTATGATTTATTATAGTTAATAATAGAAGATTAAGAGGCATATAATTAATGATGTAATATATAAATGATAATTATTGTATTATTTTAACATTAATTTCAAAAATAATATAAAGAAGAAAAATTAAAATAATATAATAACAATTTGACTATGGTTTTTTTTATCTATAATATGCATGAGATGATATGCAAGAAATTTAAATGAACTTAAAAATTAAAGATAAAAGTACTATTATTACTTAATATTACTATTATTGCTCAATTTAAAAATAAAAGTGCAAGCAAATATAAAATGCAAAAGCGCTGTGAATGTACAAAAATTCTTTAATGAAAAATGTAATTTCAATTGTAAATATTATATCATGCTTTATAGTTAAAAATCAAAAGACAACATAATATAAATGACAATTATTATTTTATTACAATATTAACTATCAATAACATAAAACACTAAAGCTTCAAATCTCATTAAAATAATAAGGACTTTTACTGCTAAAAAAATTGCATTCCCTAGGATGAACCACTAAAAATTTAAGAAAAAACAAAGATAAAATGAAAATGATAATATTTAACACTATAAAATCAAAATAATCTCAAACTTTAATCTTCTGAAAAAGTTTTAAAACTCCAATTTACAATATATAGAAGCCTATTTTTAAAAATTGGGCTATAAAAAAAGTATAGTTTGGGTTATAAAATTTTAAAATTACCTTGAAGTTACAAAACATATTTTGGTGCAAAATGAATTCAAAAACATAGTTTCTAATATATAATGTAAAAAACTCTATATTTCTGTCTTCTAATCTAATTAACAGATACAATTACCCTTTCATTAAAATAACTTTATCAAAAAAATAATTACAAAAAAAATCACATAATATAGATATAAAATAAAATAAATGCAATGCGCATGCTAAAACAACTAGATAAGAAATTAATAATTAAGAGTGTTATTTAGTTTTACTTTTTGTTTTATTATAATTCTAATTGAGATAATAATTAAAAAAAGATGAATATTAAATATCTTTTTGAATTTTTTAAATATTATTTCTTTTCAACGTGACTCTATATAACTTTTTAAAAACATATTCTTACTACTTACCGAACTCAATTTCAAATCCAGCCTTAATCATTTAATTATAATTTTTTTACTAAAAAACCATTATAAAGTTTAAAAATTGATAACAATAAGGTAAAATGTAAGCTTTAATACAAAAAACTAAAAAATAATTCATGCAACGCATTAACAAATAGAAAACTAGTTATATAATAAAAGTGTTGTTTACTTTGTAAATTTATTAAAATATTTTTAAAAATTATTTATATTATTTTATTAAAAATATTTTAATAAATTAATAAAACAAATAATCCGAACTGAAGCAAAAATAAATATAAAAAGATCAAGCATCAAAGGCAGCATCCAAATAAAGAGGGAAAGATCTATTAGCGGGTGGTTGAGTTAGTAGGGAACTCTTTCAGTTTAATTAGAAGTCTTGATTTCAAGTTCTGAAAATGTAATTTCATTAAAATTCATGAGAGAGAGTTTTATTACCCGTTGAGTTCTATTCAATTCGAAGAGTTTTGTCACCCGTTGAATCTTATCCAATTAAAATCTAGATTACTCAGTCATCAATGAGTTTCCGGATACATGTAGTCAAAAAAAAAATAAAAAATAAAAAAGGAAAAGTGTGATGGGCAGTTCACGATATATAACGTGGCAGCGGTACAAATTTTCAGTTCAAAGAAATTTCAAGTTTTGTAGCTGTAAACTGTTCTCCCCAGTGGTCACGGAAGGTATTATCAATAAAATATCAAATTAGTGTATATTAATTTTAATTTTTTTAAAATTAAAATTTTAATTTATAATCAAAAATTAAAATTTCAATTCAAAAATTCAAAATTTGATA